AATGGGTTACTAGTAGTATGCAGTCCGTGGGGTTTCATATAAATCATGTTGGGTAGGCTGGCATTTTTATTATTTATTTCTTTTTTTTTTTGCATATGTCACATGTCTAATTTTTTTGCATATATCACATGTCAAATTTTGCAAACAAGTTTGAAGCATTAAATTTTAAAATTTTAAATTAAATATTTGGACCAAACATTTCCACCATGTGAGGATACCCAAAGTAATTTTTTAAATTTGTATTCAATTTTTTGCATATGTCAAATGTCTAATTTTGCACACAAGTTTGAAACAAATTATGTCACATGTCAATTTTTTTGCATATGTCACATGTCAAATTTTGCAAACAAGTTTGAAGCATTAATTTTTCAAATTTTAAATTAAATATAAATTTTACAAAATATTTAAAATATTTGGACCTAACATTTCCACCATGTGAGGATACCCAAAGTAATTTTTTTAATTTGTATTCAATTTTTTGCATATTTCAAATGTCTAATTTTGCACACAAGTTTGAAACAAAATATGTCACATGTCAATTTTTTTGCATATGTCACATGTCAAATTTGGCACACATGTCAGGACCACCTCCAAATCACCCATATTTTGGCACACATGATCTCTTGCACAAACAAAGCTAGTTTTCCAAAGTTTTATATTTTTTTGAATTTTTTAGTAATTTATAATTCCCTCTAGACTGACTGGTCAAACCATCGGTCTATACCTCAAGGGGGCATTGTAAAGTATTAATTTTCCAAATTTTCTTTCATATCCATGTTTGGCACATGTGGGTCACCATGTACAAGAAAATTTGGGTCACAATTTTTGAATTTTTTCTGAATTTTGTATGCCCTGCCCAATGCCGGTTCGAAACATGCGGCTTCACGGAGCCACTATAAATTGTACGAAAGGAGATCTTTCACATTACATATAATCAACTTGCATTTCATGAAAAAACTCCTTCATGTTACAAATAATCATTACACCTTTATTCAAATATTGTTTTTTGCACACACACACCATCTTTAACTACTTTTTTATTAGTATTTGATGAAATGAAGGAATATGTACTCAGTTATTGGAATATTTGATCATATGGTGGAGTATTTTCTATTTTTGCTTACTCAAATGAAGGAAAGATGTCATATGTGTCGATGAACAATTTCCACTTACTTCACTAAAAACATTAATTTACTTAACGCAAAGTTTTACATTTGGTCCGATTTGCTTATGGGCAAAGCATGTTGCACAAGGCCACAACATGGGAATTTATTGCACCACTGCCACAACACGTTCCACATGGCCGCAGCATGGGAAGTGTTTGCGGCATGCCCGATCAGTGAAGCAACACTGATGCGGCATGTCTGATCATTGCAATAGCTAAATTCAAGCAAATCATACATCTAAGGAACCATAATGGCAAATTTAAGGGACACAAATATAGATAGCAATATATACTACTGCCATAGATAGCAGCATCCACACAGCACACTTGCTGATGCAGACCGCTAGCATATTAGATATGTTTGGACCGCACATCACAGTACTACACTTAGATAAAGTTCATACTAAATTACCACTACAAGTTTCCACCATCAGAATACCACACAAAGTTCACCAAAAGGACTGAGCCTTCCTACATCATACGACAACGAGGGTCTAGGGCAACTACATGTCAGGGTTTCTCAGGACCTTGTGGAGGGCAGAATGCTGAGCCCTGATCTTGTAGTCATGACTGCTGATGGATGTAGCCCGACAATGCTCCATCAGATGCTCCAGCAACCCAGGCCTGGGCTTGGGTCTGCTGCAGTAGGGGCACCGGTACTTGTCAGACCTCCAGTTGTAGTACCTAGCAGATCCTTGGGCCCTGATCTTCAGCACCTCCTTCTCTTCAAACGACTCGACGTTCCCCTCGACCACATCATCTCCAGATTGATACTGCACACATTAATGACTGACATTAATACATTATGCATTCAAATACTACAAACATCTAACACTAAGTCAATGCACAAATAACACTTCAGCTAGGCCTTACCTCGTACAGCTCATCCTCATCACTGTCATAAGGGTAGTAGCCAGATGAGTCCCACTTCCTCTTCTTGCCAACAAGATCCTCCTTCTGCTATATTGTCAACCAAGCAAGTCATTTACAAGGAATTGAATTGCAGTTCAAATAATGTCATTACAAACAAGTTGATTTTGCATAATGATGGAAAGCTCCTAACTATATTTCATACACTATATATGAAGCTATATACATACTAAACAATTGGCTTATGAAAATACAAGTTCATTCATATGGACATACAATTTCAGTTTTTGCTTTTGAACATGCATATGAAGGTATAAATGAATATCATTCCTCTCTTATTAACCCATGATATAGCAGTTTTTGACAGATAATGCAAATAGAACCTTTATATATAACTTCACAAACATGTCAGGTTTTCATTTCATTTGTAAATCTTAATAAATATTTAGTTCAGAGCAGTTCTCAATGATCACTCATAAGTCAGAATAAGTGAAATGGTGAAGCCTAACTCCTACATCTAATTAAAATACCCTAACTCCAACATCTAATTAAAAAACACTAACTCCTACATCCACTGGAACATTGAATCACAAAATTTACGTACATATATCATTGGATATAAATGGACCCACTACAAATAACACTAACTCATACATCTAATTAAAATATCATAACTCTTACTTCTACTGCATCATTCAGTCACACCATTTAATTACATTTATCTCTACCTATAAATGAATCTAATACAAAAGAAACCTAACTAAACATCTAATTAAGAAACACTAACTAGTACATCTACTACATCATTCAATCACAGAATCTATATAACTGTCTATAAATGAATAATACAAATAAACCTTAACTAACCAACTAATTAAAAAACCATAACTACTACGTCTACTGGATTATTCAATCATACATCCTACATATAACTGGCTATAAATGAATCCAATACAAGAAAACCCTAAGTAAACATCTAATTAAAGAACCCTAACTACTACATCTACTAGATGATTCAATCACAGATTCTGTATATATCTGTCTATAATTGAATCCAATACAAATAAACCTTAAAAACCATAACTACTACATCTACTAGATGTGATTCAATCACAAATTCTACTTATCAGTGGCTCTAATTGAATCCAGCACAAAAATCCCCAACTAAACATCTAATTAAAAAGCCCTAACTACTACATCTACTGGATGTGATTCATTCACACATTCTACATATCAGAGGCTATAAATGAATCCAATACAAATAAACCCTAACTAAACATCTAATTAAGAAACCCGAACTAGTACATATACTGGATGATTCAATCATAGATACAACATAAATGTGCCTCTAATTGAATCCAATACAAAAAAATCCCCAACTTAACATCTCACTAAAAAACCCTAACTACTTGATCTACACAATGTTCAATCACAGAATCAACTAAACATCTAATTAAGAAACCCTTACTAGTACATCTACTGGATGTGATTCAATCACAGATACAACATATATGTGCCTCTAATTGAATCCAATACAAAAAATCCCCAACTTAACATCTCATTAAAAAACCCTAACTACTTCGGATCTTAGACTAAATATCTAAAGCAAACGACAAGTCATGCAGGAATTACTAGACACACTGTCTTTTTATGGCCAAGAACTTCCATAGATTTGTATCGAGCAAGTAGCTAGGGACAAGATTACATACAAAAATAACTAAAATGAGGCAGAAAATTACCAACCATGCTGGAGAAGGGGCAACTAGCACACTATGCCTTATGCATTGTCCCATATAACCAACTAGCAT